AAACCCATTGATTTTCTTGGATTTCCTGATTGATTTGATGGTCCAAATCTCTTCAGAGTCTTGATTGCTACATGGGTATTTCCCCCATTACTTGATTTTCTTATCCCTCTTCTCACAACTGAAAATCCTCCTCTACCCAGAACGTCTGAAACTTCATATTCATCTGTGAGTCTTCTAGCTTCCTGGCCCATGGCCATGGATTCCATGGAAGGTAGGGGAAGAAAGACCCAAGAGACACAGATTCAATGACAAGGAGGACAGACAGAGAGGTTTGATCAATGATAAGAGTGAGAAAGTTTGAAGCCACGGAGATTGACATCAGCATTTGAACAATTCTTGATTTGTTTATTAAGTAAAATATGAATTATTTGCAAGTGACAACGCAGGAATAAACTATATGGGTAAAGAGCTGATGAAGAAGAGACAAAAGGCCAGGTCAACAAAGCTTATTCAGTAGGTTTTTGTTGGCCTTTCTATGATATATTCTCTTGGTGTAATGCAGCATCAAACCTCACTCTGGTCTCCACCAAACTTGGCTGCAGGGGTGCAAGTGCCGATAATCACTCGGTTTTTTAAATGGGTCTAAAGAATTATGCCGAAATCGAGGAACTCGTTTATTCTCAAAACCGAACTTAAGTCGAGTAGCTCTATATGATACTCAGTTTTAGGGTCTGGAGTTTCGTGTCGTGTCGTATTATATCAAATTCATGTCGTGTTATTTTTAGTCATTTTATTTTAATGTCGTATTATTTTTGATACATATTGACTTCGTGTCAATATTTATGTTAATAAAAAATTAATTAATTTGACAATAACTAATATAAAAAATTATAAGATTTTTATTTTTTATCTATAATATTCGATAAATAATTATTTTTTATCTACAATATTTATTAAGTATTTATTAATTGTGTTATTCGTGTCGAATCTTAATTTGACTCATTTATTACTCGTCTTAACTAATTGTATTATTTTCAGGTTTGTATCAGATTCGGTTCGAATCAGGTTCGTGTTAACCAAAAAAATTGACACCCCTACTCAGTCCTAGCACCATCTTTGTGGATTTTAATTTGAGGGAAAATTACACTTACATGCCCTAAACTATGCCTCTCATTTCAACTTGGCACAAATCGAGGTAACAATAGAATTTTGCCTACTTAGAGAAGGAAAAATCACATCTCCTCTAACATTGTGAAATTTTATCCTTGCCCTGATATGTTATGATAAATTGGAAAGAAGTAAAAAGTTTGGGTAATGTGAAACTCAAAGCTGATAATTTAAGTACATATGATGAGAGAATAAAGTTTAGGGGGCAATATGAAAGGAGGGGCATAATTTAGGGATTATAAGTATAATTTTCTCTTAATTTGATGGGCAAACTATACATTGACCATTTAAAAAATCGATTTAGATTCTTTCTAATATAGTTTTTCTTCAATTATCTTTTTGGTGGATCATCCACCGTTGATGAATGATGAGGCTTGTATATAATGAGTCACTTAATCCTTTGGAGTGGGTCAGTAGTCCAGTTTGACATTTGATAATTCAGAGGTTTTGAATTTCATTTATTCTCGCACCCTTATTCTTTTAAGGACACGCTTTAACTCAACTCAAGCTACTGTGACTAGTCATGAGCTCGAGGAAATAATCAACATAAGCCTAGACACGCTTTAAAAAAAAATCTATAATATAAAATAGGACAAATTTTATCGTCATAAGTCTGAACACCCTATAAAAAAAATTTATAACATTAAACATGATAAACTTCAATAAACTAATTTAACGATTTCAAATAGACTCATCCAACGATCACGAACATTCCTCTTAAAATTTTATCATACCTTCTGGCACGGGTTACTTCTATTATATATAATGAATATGTTGTATATAATGAGTTCCACTTAAATGCATGATATATAGTCCACCAAAAAAACAATTGAAAAAAAAAAGTGTCGGAGAGAATCTCGCTTTGCAACTATGGCATGATTTGCCTTTATTCTCTCAAGTATTTACATTTTCAAACTTTCATTCTTAATATTGGTTTACATTAAGTTTTTGATTAAAGATGTCGGTGAAATAAAATCCCACATTTCAAAGTAAAGTTAGGCAACTTTGTATTCAATTTGCAATGAATATTTATCACTGAGAGAGTTCAAAAATTAATACCCATAGTTGAAAATGCAATGTGACTAGGGGTGTCCATAGATTGGGTTATCATGGTCTCGTTATTCGGCCCAAAGTCTGATTGATCCGATAGTTGGCCCGTCCGAACCTGAGCCAAATATTTAAAAAAAGGGCTTAGATTTGCCTCCAAATCCCGGCCCAAGAGCCTGCCCACAAGCCCCAGCCCACCTACCCTTCATTTGAAAAAAAAAGTTATAATTTTAGACAATTAAATTTAAAATTTTGAAATAAATCTCTCAATATCCAAATTTGAAGGTTTAAAAATTTAGATATTATAAATAATATATTATTTTCTTTTTTATGTATTAAACATATAAGTTTTAAATGGTAGAGTAATGAAAATGATAGATAAGTTAGTAGATGTCAACTTAATTGGAATTTATTCATTCAATTGGATGTAGTTTATTATTTTATTTTTATCCATTTTGACTTTACTTTTGATTCAAAAATATAATTTACACAAATATAAAATTACAAAAATATTCATTATTTTTAAATAAAGATGTATATAAAAATGCCCGCCCAGCAAGCCCCGCTCAATAGATTCACAGGTTGGCCTGCGGGTAGCCTACCTCTACCCAAAGCCCGGCCCGCTCAATAATTTACTTGGATAAGGGCTTGGGCCTACACCACCTAGGCCCAACCAGAAAAAAAATGTTGTGGGCCTAGCCTGGCTCGGCCCATGGACACCCCTAAATGTTAGAGGTCACCCGAGACATTTTGGGGCTTAAAACGAAAACGATAAATTAAATTTTTATATTTAAATTTTTGTTATCATATTTAAACTTAATGGTGAGAGAGAGAGAGAAAGAATGATTGAAAAAATCGTAAGTTTAAACTTGACTTTTTTTAGGGTTAAAATTAGATTTTTTAGTAGTTTTAGTTTTACATTTAGTTTTTTTTCTTTATTTTAAAAAATAAATTTTAGGGCCTTTTAATTTTACGGCTGAATTAATAGGTCTAATCTATTTAAGTTAAAATTTTTTATTTAGGCATGGATTTAAATTTTTTGTTTGAACTATTACTGTACACCTATAAGTTATAGGTCTTTCTTGATTTAAGGCCTAAATTTTTTTTTTTATTAGACTTGTATTTTTATAAGGCCTTTTTGTAGGACTGAAAATATTTATCGATTTAATGTTTTTACATGGACCATTTATGATATTTAAAAATTTAGGGCCTTTAAGCCCAAACTTTTTTTATAACACTGTTAAGCCGCCCCCATGCAATGTTAAAAAACTATAGATGAGGTTGTTATGTTTTTATTTGAATTACAGTTGAATTAATCAACAATGGCAAAAAGAGTAGGGAAACAAGAAAACAATAATAAAATGATTCACAATTCTTATATGGTTGTTTAAAGTTAGTTGCTAGTATTGTTGTTGCATTGGCTAATCACTCAAAAGTGTACATTGAATTCATCTTTCTTCAGATGTGACCCTTTTTATGTTAGGCTGAGGGAACAACTACAGTTTGTGTAATCAAAGTTGTCGACAACGGTGGTTGGAAGTTTCCAATCGATATTTTTTTGGTTATAACCTCACCCTCTATGAGTTATAACTTTTGGTAAATTACTAAAAACCAATCTATATAATAAAATAATTTACGATTCAAATCTCAAAAGATAAACAAAATAATTTGTACTATTCGTGGTTGAGATCGTTTTAAATTTTACTTTAAAGTTAATCTAACGGCTAATTTTAACACCTATAAAAAAAAATAGGGTCTCTAAAGGTGTGTTTGGAGTGACTTTTTAAAAATACTTTTAGAAATTATTTCTCTTAAATACTTTTAAAAAAAAATAATATTTGAAACCGCCTCACCACTACCTCTACCACCACCTTCATCGCCACCACCACCGTCGTCGTCGCCGCCACTACTACCACCACCACCACAGTCATTACCTCCTATCACAACCATCACTGTCTCCTACTACCACCATTGCCGCCCACCACCTTTCACCCCCATTACAAACTAGTGTTTAAATTCTTTTATCTCTTCTCTAAGTTTGTGATTTAATTTTAAATATGAATACAGATATGTTTATTGTTTACTATTTTTTATTACTCTTTGTTTTCAGGCACAGACAATAATTAGTCATTCGATAAAAAATTTTCCAAAACCTGTGTTCATGAAATGTACCATTTTGAATCCCCACTCAATTCATTCGAATGCTACTTTCAGCAAGGACTTTTTAGATACCATTCTGAAAAATAAGTCTAAGCTATAAATCTTGATTTAATTATTTTGATTCATTAACCATGAAAATAATTAAATAAAGTTACATAATATAGTAAAATAACTTTGTGCTTACTATCCTTCTATTCCATAGCCTATTTTTTTTAGATCTAATTCATTGCAACCGTTGGATTAGCAATAAGTCTCAACGATGGATGAAATTCACTATCAATCTAATAGTTACAATGGATTAAATCAATAATTAGATTTGAATAACATTATTCTTTCAACCATACTGGAATCTAGATCTTCTCTATTATAATTTCACTTAATTCCACTTCATAGAATATCATCAAACGTGTATGAATGAGAGGTGGGGTTCACATATAAATAATGAGTCACGTGAGTACATGATGAGTGATCTACCATTAACGAAGAGTATCTCAAAATCCAATTTGATTCACACTCTGAATTCACAAAATCCATCTTTCTTATTATGGCCTTATTTGAATTACACTTGAATCAATCAATACAAATAAAGGGGATAGAGAAAGAAGAAAAAAAAAAACAAAAACAAAATGACCCAGACAGTGGAAATAAAAAAATCCTCAGCATGGAGCTAACAAAAAACATTGCCCTCACAGACCCGGTTTGTAACTTATCCCTGTCATTGGGATCCATTTGTTCCCATTGATGAAAGATTTGACAGTAAACGTACTAGCTTGTTTACTAGTAATGTTTCTCAATCCCTTCCATTTAACCCTATTTTTCGTCGAAGAACCCAACCCGAAATTCTGGAATTCAGCATAAAATATGGTGTCGGGTGCTGTCGTCCCGACCCACGGTAACCACCCTTTTGGATCAATCAAGCTACCCATCATCGTGTTGATGTACACGGTGGTGGAGTGGTTCTTCCACGGCCGGCCAAGGAAGGTTTGGACAGAGGATAGGTTTTCTGAAGGCCCAATTGTGCAGTTCTGAATAGAGATACCTGTTGAAATACTTATATCAAATGTAGGAATTTCAATCATCAAATGTAATACAAAAGGAAATATTAACATGAGAATGTAAATTAACACCATATACATGATAGCATAACATTTGATTTTTTGAAGAATATATACATAACATGTAAAAACTTTCCTAAGTTTTAATTGATGTCACTATTCGATGATTCAATTCAAATGCTCACAACGAGTTGATATTTAAGAGGCATGTATAAACTCTGTTAAAATACTTCTGTCTCCGTTAAGTGATGATTTTAATGAATATTAGGGATTCCAAAATTCAAAAGGTAACACCGAAAAAAGGAAATAGGGAGATTGTGGTTTTTGTTGTTCTCATGAAGTGATGATCAGTCGCTTGGCGAATGAATTGGGTCAACCTCTATTTTAGCTAATTCAGATACTCACAACAACGCATTCTCTGGGTTCACGCAAACTAGGAGGAAGGAGTAAACATGACTCTAATCGAAAAAATTGGAAAGTACACTTTAAAAACTATACAAAATACTGGTAAGATAGATACCTTTTAAGTTGTTTTGCCAGATTTTATAGGCCTATAAGTATTTATACCTATTAGAATAGGTGGCTCATATTTAACATATGGAGAGGTATATCAAGTTCAAATATAATGGGCCAATTGTCAAAGCGCAGCGAAGTGCCTTCTGGATTTGTCCTAATTAGGGTTGTAACTTATATAAATCAAGTTGTAATCATATTTTAGTATGAAATAAAAAAAAGGCAGTCGCTCTTTCGTGGACGTAGGCAAATTGTCGAATCACGTAAAATTCTTGTATTCATATTCTAATTTTTCTGTTTCTTTGATTGTTCATTGGACACAATCACAATAATACCATTATATAGAAGACTAGAAGTTTGGAGTCATGAAAAGCATAACCATCTAGTCATAAATAAAATTCAAGTGATGGTCCATCAAAATTAGAATAATGAAAATTCATTCCAATGTAGCCATACCAGTGTTTTGATTAGGATCGATCTTGCCTTGAGCTGTAATGGTGTTTTGTTGGCCAGGAATGGGGACTTTAGGGAGAATGTTACAGTTTTGGAAGACAACGGCCGAGTTTCCGAAAATAAAATCAACTGTTCCATAGATGTTGCATTCACTATAGAACTGCCGGTTAGAAAGAGTGTAGAGAGTGTCTTGGAAAGCGTCCACGCGACACCGGTAGAACACCGACAGGTCGGAAGTTGACATCAAGGCAACAGCCTGCTGCTTGATTGCACCAGCAATGTTAAGAAATCCCATGTCACGAGCGATAAATCCTTGACCAAACACAGCTGAATTGGAAGAAACAGAAACGAACACAAATGAAAAACCTTACCTTAATGTTAGGCTTCACCTTATGAAGATTTATGCTGAAAAAAAAATTATTCATGGAATTTATGAGATTTCATGTTCTAATATTAATGAACTATCACTAATCCTGTGCCTGGAGACACTACCCAATATCAAAAATCGAACAATGACCATGCAACATATATATTATAAATACCAATTTACCAAGGAAAATAATTTTGGTGGCCAATACTTTTCTCCTTGAGCTTGCTATTACAGAAGTTGTCGCGATCATTGTCATCGGGCAAAAGTTCACTAATAAAATTTTACGTTTTATGTACGAAATTTTGGTTTGGTAAAAATTGTATGTCTTTAGACATAAAATTTGACTTAATGGCGTGATAGGTTTCGTGGTATCACTGAAACTGTAATTAACTCATGTTTAGGTACAAAATATGTAACTCTTTGTTGAATATAGCAAAGTGGCATGAAGATATTTACCAAATGTTGCAGTTGAAAATGTTGGAGTTCCATCCACAAAGTTTAGGCTGCCAGAAACAACAGTTGCATTCATTCCATCCCCAATCACCATGACATTCCACTTGGTTTTCTCAACCCTAACATTCTCATTATATACCCCCTTCTTCACGTAGATCACAAATCTCTTTGTGCTCGTATCGGGAGCCGCCTTCATGGCGTCACCAATCGTCGTATACTTCCCGGAACCATCCTTAGCCACCACAACATCGGCCTTGATTGTCGAATTTGTACTCTGAAGCAGCTTCCGATCTCTCAGAGATAACCAATTTGGCATTTCGCTTCCCCCAGTATGCTTACGGTTCAAAACTGCTAACGTTTTGATAAACAGTCGTTTGGGCCTGGTCACTACGTCCTCGTGGAGGTACCCCTTCTCCCGCAGAGGTAAACTCAGCAATCGTCGTTCCTTCAAAGAAGATGCAATATTCAAAAAAGTGTTTAAGAGGGCGAGGCTGTTGCTAGTGAACTCAGTGGAGTTTTTGAGGTTCTGGAAAACACTGATTTTTAGTGCATTTGTTGTGTTATCGAAGCCATCTATGCATGTTTGTTGGAAAGTGCCTGCGGCGCTTAGCCAAGTTTTGAGATCATCCACAGCATCAAGCAATGAGGCATTGTCAGTAGCCAAGGAAATATTAAGATGATCCAGAGCAAGTCCCAAAAGTTCTCGACAACTTTCGAGAGCTGCAATGGCCATTTTATCGGTGATTTCTTTGTATCCTTCGTTTTCTGAGAAGTACTGGGCGACTCTCAATAGTTCATTTCTTGCTACTTGGACCGATAATTTGTAGATCTCTTCGGGCTGAACCTGGCTAGAATTAACCAGAGGGGCGAGGCTAGTGTAACACGAACCAGGGTATAAGGTCGTGTCACACGCCGCTTTAATTGAAGCGGGGATGAGGGAAGCTTCGCTTCTGGAACTGCCCTCTTTGGCCTGAGAAGTTCCAACTACGGCGGCCACTATAACACCAATAAGAATGATTGAAGATAAAGCCATTATGACGATTCTCTTTCGGGTCTTTTGACGAGATTTGAGTCTCTGTTGATCAGATTCGTCGAGTTTTCCATAGGATTTGAGAGAAGCCATGTTTGACACTGAGTTTTCTTGTGTTTAAGGTAGTGAAAATGAGGATGTTTAAATAGGAAGACGTGTATGCATGAAGAGATTTTTTAAAAGAAACTTGGCTTTACGTGCGAGGCACTACCTTTAGGACGTGAAGACGTTATTCAAAGTCGAAGTGCCTCTCGTGTTACTGTTTAATTAGATTGCCCATAAGGTCAACTGATAATAACCACACTACCTCGGGGTTAGCCGGTCGGATTCGGATCAAATTTCAAAATTTAGATTAAGATTTTTTTTATGTGAGTAATGGGGTGCCCGTGAAAGTTTGTGGTTTAAAACGACAATTAAAAAAAAAAGACTTTTATTTTTCAAAATAATATTTTATTTAAAATTTATTTTTCTCGCCTTTTGAAATGTCCGTTGTCCAAGTTTAAAATGATAATACTAATAAAGAATTATAGACTTTATAAATTTTGTGGTATGTAAAAAAAACAAATAAATAAACAAAGGCAGACATCCAAAATAAATAAATAAAAAAAATAAAGACAAAGGCAGATGAGTTGCCCATTGTTAGTTAGGGAGAGAAAGAGTGGACGAGAGAGACGGGATGAGTAAATGGGAGAAAATGTTGAAAAGTTTATTTTTTACCATTTTTTCTTTTTGTTTTTTTAATGGTTTTTTGGTGTCATGGAATGGATAAATAGGCTGAAACTATTCAATTTAAATCTAGGGTTCTCTGGAGGCGAGCCTTTTTTTGTAAATTTATTTGAACTTAAGTACACTCAAAAAATTTGTTTGAGGATAAGTCTATTTTAATCTCCTTTGTCCAAAATACCCTCAATAGTTATACTTAATCAAAACTTGTTTGTAAAAACTAATAACTCCAAAATTGAGAATTGTATTAGTATTACCAATTCTTAACTTGAGAATTGTGTTAGGATTAAAATAATTTTTTTATCATATATATATATATATATATATAACATTAAACAGTAACACACTAAAAAAAAATAATAACATCAAACAATAACATGCTCATTAAATTATGCGTTACTAGCACAACGCAACCCAACTGGCCTTAAACTAGCACAACCCAAAAGTAATACAGGACACTAGGAACATATATGTCCACATACATACATACCAAGAAGTCTCATCTCATGTACGTGATTTCCATTTCATTCCTAAAGAGGGTTTCACACTAAAAATTGAACCAAAATGAGATTTATATAGGTGTGTCTTATAAATGATTTCATCTCTCTTGATGTTGTCTTCATGTGTGACAAATTTCAGTGCTTGTTCCCTCCACATATGTCTCTTTGGTTCCTACAAGAGCAAGTTAGCATGTGCATTGACATGTTAGATTAACATATTTTTATCAATTATAGAAAATGATTTAGTTTGGGATGACATATCTCTATCACGCAAGTTATACTGCTATCTCGAACTTAACACAAAAAATGAAATATCATGTAAATGAATACTGTGATATCTTTATCGGGAAATATGGACCCAGCTGCTGCACTTGAATCATCAATATGACATACATTTTGCAATCAAATCCATTAGGCAGTACAAGCCCTCAACTTGGTGGAATGATAGGCCATTTATATATTTTTTGGAACTCGGGGGTCAACTCAAGAATTAGAAGATGTAGTACCTTCACTAATTCAATTAAAACAATACAGTGAGATGACAAATATTGGGGTTACACTTCCCTAATTTATTTGGTTGCATAAACTTTACTGTTTTATTTGTCTGCCAATTCACATCCCTTTTCTTATGTTATTAGGAAAAGGATCGAGAAGCATTACCTGTTTATTTTCTACGTCTGCTACGCATAAGTATCAATGAGTGCCTCCATCATTTATTGATAGATATATCTAGTAGGGTTATATACTAAAAACTTACTTTTTATAGTGAAACTCGTTTTATTAATTAATAGAAGTTTGGTTTTTCTATTTTATTAAAAATCAATATGGACAAAATATTTATATTATATTTGATATATGGTATGCATATGTGTCTTATATTTTACATTATAAATAAACTAGTGTATAGAGTTCGACTTATGCACATAAGGTCAGATTATTGGATCCTTGTATAATATGAATATATGTTCACAATTTTAGATGGAATTGGACACACCATCAGTATGATTGTAGTTTAATATTCTGGCATACTCTGTCTTGACTATAGGAAACTGTTTGATATCTCGGATTATTACACTAATAAACTTTGTGTATTGAACAGACCCATATTGAGATTATTATCTTTTATTGATTGAATAAGATAATAAATACCTCATGATTATTATGATTGTTTATACTCTTAATCTCGAGATATTTAATTGCTTCGTACATATAATGATTGTCACTTTTAATTCATCAAAGTGTAAAATTCATATTGAGTCCATAAGCTCAGTGAATTGGGAGACGATATTATTTGTATGATAAAAATTAATTATTAAAAAAAATCACGTCCTAATATTTAAATGGGTTGATGATGTTCTCTTGAGAAAGTTCAGAAGTTTTGTCTATGTCAAACTCTGCAAGTGGATTTAATTATCCGATATGACAAATAAGTTGAGTGATAAGCTCTTAAAGAATAAAAAAAAAATCAATTGAATATAATTATCAGTAATTTATTTAATTGATGGACATTTGTAATTTTAAATATGGTGAGATTATTAAACATATAATAATAAGGAGCTCAAAACATAATTTTGAGATAAGGCTCAGGAAATCAATAATAAGTTTTTAGTGGACTAACTTATTATTAATAGACTATAGGATATTTGTTTTAGGTTGAACATGGGAATCTTAAACTCATTGAAAGTCCGGTCCTTATTTCTCCTTAGGGTTTTTGTCGTAGTCTATATATAGACGTTTAAGCTCTCTAAATCAGCATCACCTTGATTACTCATGTTTTGAGGGAGAGTAAAAGTTCGGAGGTTCTTGCCGCCCACATTGCATCTGGATTTTGGCGTGGGGGGATATACGTCAGAAGATCGTGAGATTCATCAAACTGTTTTTGCGTCTGTCTTTAGATTTTGTATCCGTGCTGAGACGAGATCAATCCAGAGCAATCTTGAAGGTAAACCCTAGTTCTTCTTTGTAGGGTTTTAAAGGAATTTTTTTGTGTATTTGACACATACGTGCTGTCAATGATTATTGAAATTTCTGCTCCAACAATATCTATATTAACAATATATAAAACAGTGATCAACGAGACATGTATATCTAGCATGATCAATGGAAACGACTTGTATAAAAACAATGTGCAATGTCAAACCTTATTGAGATTTTTATTGTCACCAATGTAATGACTATAAATATTTTATAATATGCTCATCTAAGACATTTTTTTTTCATATCATCACAATTTCTTGTTGCTACCATAAACATTCATAAAATGGATATAATTAACAAATAAATATACTATGAAGCACATAACTCTGAATCACTGCACAACACTGACGAATAGAGATACTTTATCGAAAACCAGGTTGAGAAGTACCATCCGACCTTTTGTGTGGTGTTGTTCATCTTCTCACTAGGCAACATAATGAATGACAACATATTTATCATCTGTTAAATGAACAAAAACTAGTGACCAGTTACTGTCATTTAGAGAGCACAATAATTGAAGTCAAAAGTTAATTAAAGGCAATCCACTTACTCGTATACCCAATCCTTTGCACTTAAGTACTACATTGCCTTCCGTTGCGTAAAATATTTGGGGTCCTCGACAAAAATAAGAATCTCCCTACGTATAACGTTCACTTGCTAAATTAATGAATCATATATCACTTACAACAAAATATATCTGATTTGACAAATAAAGGATTCACTTATGAATTATCCAACAAAGTGTCTATTATGTAGCCCCATATTAAGTTCTCTAGGTCAGTATTGATCTTTGGTACTTAAGGGTATCCCATTTTGTAGACATCAATATCTTCATTCTGTTATGTTATGGGCACAAATATCCAAGATTACCGTTGTTTTTGTTTTTATTATGCAGTTTGCACTATAAATGTCTAATAATACTGATGGGTACCAATAATATTTTTCTATAAATATTAGTTAATTGGTAGAAATAGTTGTCATTACCATGAATTTCTTGTTAATTGACACAAATGTCTTTGACTTATGTGGAGAAAAAAAGCACATTATTATAGACCTAAATGATGATGGAACGAAGGACATATTCCATTATTTTGAAAATGAGAACATTGACATGCAAGAAAACATGATAGATGAGTAACATCGTTTAATTCACACGAAGCGGGGACAATTTTATAGCACCTATAGAAGACGTGTTGGGTTTAGTGTTACAAATGATGATCTAAAAGTATGACAAGAACTACATGCCGGTTTCAAGAAGATGGGTTTGTTCGAGAGAAGGGTGTCGTCTGCAAAGAATGCGGAACATGTTGAACTATAAAAAGAACCAGAAGGCTTAACAAAGGTTGGATGTCTTGCAACATTCCATGTGAAGTACAATATAAAGACAAAAAAATGGGTTGTAAAGGATTTTGTCATAGAGCAAAATCATCCATTGATTCCACCACGTGGCATGTCATTTCTCTGATCACATAGGCATCTTAAGAACCTTGACAGAGCAAAAGCTAGAGATTTGTGCAATGTTGGTATACGTACAAGTCATACTATAAAATTCATAATGCAACAATAAGGAGGATATCATAATATTGGGTTTACTAGAAAGGATCTATATAATGACATAGCTCCTAGCGTAGAGAAAAGATGAGAGACAATTATGTGGAATTCGCATTGACGTACTTGAGCACCAAGGGAGAGTTGAAGCTACTATTTTATTTCAAGTATAGCATCATTGCAGACAGTTCTCTAAATTGCTTGTTTTGGGCTAGTTCAATATATCGAGTACACTACTAGTGTTTTAACTATGTGCTAACGTTTGATATAACATATCGACAAATGCAAATAAGAATCCGTTTGTGATATTTGCAGGTGTCAAACAACATAATGCAACAATTATAT